TATATAATATTAGGAACTGGACTCGGTTTTTATCAACAAATTCAGGTACAGTTTATTATTTTATCTTAATTGTATAAATCATTGTATAAATATTTCAACGTACTTATATGCTTGTATGCTTGCTTTGACAATAAAAGAAGAAATGTCGAACTCATTACAATTTACTTTTAATGACTTGAAGCTTCGTACTTTTTCTGGTATGTTAATTGACAAATTATTTATTTGATAATTAATTATTATTTACACAATATCTTGCCAAACAGGGCATTCGTCAGCTGTTCGTTCTTTTGACGTCAATGAACATGCTCGGCTAATAGCCTCTGGTTCAAAAGATCGCACAGTAAAACTTTGGTCATTAGACTTTCATAACGGAATAGAAAACTCAGATAATGAACCATTTTCTGAGTGCTTGATTACATACAATGGACATAGAAAGTCTGCAGTTAGTGATGTTCATTTCATCAGTGGACGAGGTGGTGGTTGGGGACTTGGAGATGTCATTGCTAGCAATGATGGGCAGATACATGTAAATATTATATTATGTGATGTAAATATTTTAGTATACATTTTTACTAATAGTTTATGATTTATTTATAGCTTTGGGACCCAGAAACTGGACAAATATTGCATCAATTTAGAAATGACAGAGCACCATATTTATCTATCAAACCGATATTTAGATCCAGATCCCTTGTTAGTGGATTAGGAGATACTTCAATCGCGTAGGCTTTATTCAGGATTCAAATTTCACTATTTCATTTCTTTAATATAAGCCATGAATTAATTATATACTGTTTACTAAACAGATTCTTTGACACCATGAAGTATAGTCCGTTATATTCATGGAAGTCCTGTCCTGCGTTTGCTGGTCTGTTAATAATCAAATAATTTTAACTACTCTAAATAAATGTTAACATATTTATTCAACTTATTTAGGCAACATACGTACTATATGTGTGAGCCCATCCGAGACATTAATAGCAGTTGGTTTTTCTAGCGGAGTAATATCGTTATTAGAGTCAAGAACTGGTACATTAATTAAAAGTTGGAAAGCTGGAGACACAGATATATCTCATGTAAGTCATATTTGAACAGCGTAATCGGTTCAATATACATTGCCACATTCTTCAAAAACCTTTTTTTAATTGAATCATAGGTGAAATTTTACACAAACAATTATCTTGTATCATGAGCACCAGCAGACC